AGGAGGTTTCAGAGGGGTCGCCAAAGATGATCAGAAAACACATATTTCTGATAGTCTTAGGAACCCTTTTGGCAGAGAAGGCTGAGGATCTCTCTGCCTGTCCTCATCCTTGTTTCTGCCCCTTTTGGTGAATGACAACTCCCAGAATTCACCAGTAGTTAATGTTGGCCATGTTGATAGTGTGCCAAGTTTGGTGCAGATCCATTTTGGGCTTGGTTCAGAGTGCTATTTGATTATAGGTTAACTATAAATCCCAGCAACTACCACTCCCAAGTGTCAAGGTCTATTTTCCCCAAACTCCACCAGTGTTCACATTTGGGCATATTGAGTATTCGTGCCAAGTTTGGTCCAGATCCATCACTGTTTGAGTCCACAGTGCTCTCTGGATGTAGGTGAACTACAACTCCCAAACTCAAGGTCAATGCCCAACAAACCCTTCCAGTACTTTCTCTTGGTCTTGGGAGTTCTGTGTGCCAAATTTGGCTTGATTCTTTTGTTGGTGGAGTTTAGAATGCTCTTTGATTATAGGTTAACTATAAATCCCAGCAACTACAACTCCCAAATGACAAAATGAATCCCCCCCCCCCAACCCCACCAGTTTTCAAATTTGGGCATATTGGCTATTTGTATCAAATTTGGTCCAGTGAATGAGAATACATCCTGCATATCAGATATTTACATTACGATTCATAACAGTAGCCAAATTACAGCTATGAAATACCAAATAATGTTATGGTTGGGGGTCACATGAGGAACTGCATTAAGGGGTCACGGCATTAAGAAGGTTGAGAACCACTGTTCTAGAGGCATTCTCTCCTGACGTTTCGCCTGCATCTATGGCAAGCATTCTCAGAAGTTGTGAGGGCCTCACAACCTCTGCTTGCCATAGATGCAGGCAAAATGTCAGGAGAGAATGCCTCTAGGACATGGCCATATAGCCTGAAAAAAACTACAACAACTCAAAAGCTATGGTACTCAAGATTAAAATGCTCAAGTATCGAACTGTACAAAGCATTTTTACGTTCTGAGGTTATGGGGCATTGTGGGACTTGTAGTGTACCTTTGACGTTTGGTGGCCTTGAAGGAAGCTTATGGTCTTCTCTTCAGAGCAGGTTTGCCTTTGCCTCCAGTTGGGTTCCATTCACTAGCAGGGATTTGAACCTTGGTTTCCAGAATCTTTGCTGAATACTCCAACAATTATATTGATTCTCCCACACATCTGGAGAGAAGTCAGCAGTGTTTAGAGCTTCCTTGTGACCTTCCCCATGAAATGTTGAAGGCTTCCAACTCTGGGACTTTCATCTTTTAATTGGTGAAGCCTCCTTCTTTGGAAGCTTTTAAGCAGAAGCTGGATGGCCATCTATCGGGGTGCTTTGAATGTGATTTTCCTGCTTCTTGGCAGAAGGGGGTTGGACTGGATGGCCCACCAGGTCTCTTCCAACTCTAGGATTCTGTCAATCTAAGTGGACTAACTCTTTTCTGGGCAAGAAAAAGCATATTCTTATGTGTGTGTTTACATGTCAACATAGTGTTCCTAAATACATGTTTGGTCTTGCAAAGGAGGAGTCGGAAAGAATGCCAACCTCTTCCTTCAGTGTAATATTTATTTACATTATTTCTATCCCGCCCATATCAACCCAAAGGCAACTTAGGGCGGCATACAAAGTCGGCACAATTCGATGCCAAATATGAAATACATATTGATAAAAAGCAAAATACTGTATAGGCCTCTATATCTTGTTAGCGGCGATGATATCTAATCAGGACCGGTTCAAGAATTCTTTCAGGTGGAATATCTTGACTTTGGTATCCTTTCAGACCCATGCAAATCAACACGAAGCTCTTGTACTGTTCCTGTTGATATTTGGGTGGTTTTTATTTATCGTGTCAGGAGTGAACCAAAACAGTTGTATTGCATTAAAAAATAGATAAACAAACAACCAAAACACAAAATTTGCAGACTTGGTGCTCTATTAAATGTCCTTTGACCAGTATCTGGCCACTTGGAGTGCCTCTGTTGTTGCTGCAAGAAGGTCCTCCCTTGTGCATGTGGCAGGGCTCAGGTTGCATTGCAGCAGGTGGTCAGTGGTTTGCTCTTCTCCACACTTGCATGTTGTGGATTCCACTTTGTGGCCCCATTTCTTAAGGTTGGCTCTGCATCTCGTGGTGCCACAGTGCAGTCTGTTCAGCGCCTTCCAAGTCGTCCAGTCTTCTGTGTGCCCAGAAGGGAGTCTCTCATTTGGGATCAGCCATTGGTTGAGGTTCTGGGTTTGAGCCTGCCACTTTTGGACTCTCGCTTGCTGAGGTGTTCCAGCGAGTGTCTGCAGATTTTAGAAAACTATTTCTTGATTTAACTCGTTGGCGTGCTGGCTGATACCCAAACAGAGGATGGGCCGGAGATGTCACTGCCTTGGTCCTTTCACTATTGGTTGCTGATTCCTGGCGGATGTCAGGTGGTGCAATTCCAGCCAAACAGTGTAATTTCTCCAGTGGTGTAGGGCGCAGACACCCTGTGATAATGCGGCATGTCTCATTAAGAGCCACATCCACTGTTTTAGCGTAGTGAGATGCGTTCCACACTGGGCATGCATACTGTCAGCAGCAGAGTCTTTGGGTGGTGAATGTAGGAGATTCTTCTTGGGAGTAGGTGGTGCCCGGATAGGCTTTTCCCCTCCCACTCCCCTACTCTACATTCACATTTGCTGCAGGACACAGGAACCCTGTAATAGTAATAAAGACATGAATAGCAATCCTTGTTTTTCTCCCAGAACCTGACATAACACTCCTTCAGGATTTTCTAGGTCTTCCAGCATGACTCTGTGGTCAACTTCTTCCAAAAGCTGACCACCAACTTGCACTGGAGCACATCAATTCTTAGGTGTTCCCTTTAAAAATCCCTATATCCTCCAACATGATAAGAGATAGTTAGCAAGAGAGTCATATTGGAGGATATAGTACATTTTAATCAAATCCATGAATGATCGGATTCGCAAAAGTCAAGGCCACAAATGTGGAGGGACGACTGTGCTTTGTTGTTAAGCCCCCCTTTACCTCCTTAAACCATAGCCATAGCAGAAAGAAAATAAGTGACTTCTGCATGAAGCCAGCCCGGGCTGGAGTGGGTGTCCAGCCATTGTGTAGCCCGTTGTCAACCTTTGCAACCCGAAAGACAGTTGCATCTGTCAAGTAGGAAAATAAGGTACCACCTTGTGTGGGAGGCTAAATTTAACTAATTTATGAGGCCATAAAGAAAAAAGACTCGGGGAATGTGGAATGCGGAAGAACTTCATCGGTGTCGCTGATGGACGATGAAAAGCAGCAGCTCCCCTGGCGGCCAGAAAAAAGTTAAATAGCCTCGGTGTATTTGTGTGTTAAATGTTGTTTGTCAAACTGGCATTGAATGTTTGCCATATATGTGTTGACTGTAATCCGCCCTGAGTCCCCTGCAGGGTGAGAAGGGCGGAATATAAGAACTGTAAATAAATAAAATAAATAAACTTGACAAGATGTTCAGAAAGGAACATCCCAGGTTTTGCGAGAGAGGAGACAATGTCATGGCATCTAAGTTTTGGCAGCCACACCTGCAAAACAGTCTTGGTTGTCTGTATCTTTCCGTGCGGACATGGTTTACCCACACAAAGTTGGTAGCTGTGACCGTCCTGGAAAAGGTCTGGGACTTAAGCAAGTCCTCATCTCCCTCCCTGTGTTTGCACTGTTTGTGGAATTAACCACAGTTTTGAAGTTATGTGTCATCTCCTCCACTTACCTTTGGCTACAGGTTGCTTTACGTGTTGAAAGCTAGCTTCAAGTTCTGGTAGAACACAGTGCTCCCTGGTCTCTTTTCTTCATAGCCTCCTTTTCCAGCTCTCTTTCCAATGTTTGATCAGAAGATCAGCAATTCTGGGGTCAGGGTGGCTTGGAAGTCAAATTGGTCACCTCCAAGTCGTCCTGATCCCAGAACCCCAAATCTGAATCGATGCCAACTCCAAATAGTGTTGTTGTTGTTGTTATTGGATACATAACAAGATTAGTACACAGCAAACAAGATCACTATGGTGGCTTTTGTATTTAATGACACGGCAGACACTTCCCAAGCAAATATTCGTGCAGATCCAAGTAGGGTGGCCTTTTGCAGCTGACAGGTGGTAATATGGTCAGTGCCAATTATTTTTAAGTGCAAGCTAAGGTCTTTAGGCACTGCACCCAGTGTGCCGATCACCACTGGGACCACCTTTACTGACTTGTGCCAGAGTGTTTGCAATAATAATAATAATAATAATAATAATAATAATAATAATAATAATAATAAATAAATAAAAATAATAAAATTGTTAAAGGCTTTCATGGCTGGAATCACTGGGTTTTTGTAGGTTTTTTTCAGGCTATATGGCCATGTTCTAGAGGCATTCTCTCCTGACATTTCGCCTGCATCTATAATAATAATAATAATAATAACACTTTATTTGTACCCCGCTACCATCTCCCCAAGGGACTCGGTGCAGCTTACATGAGGCCGAGTCCAAATACAACAATACAAGCAATAATAACAACAATACAAGCAATTAAAATAAAAACATGGACAATAAGAAATGCAACCTCTGAGGATGCTTGCCATAGATGCAGGCGAAACGTCAGGAGAGAATGTCTCTAGAACATGGCCATATAGCCCGAAAAAACCTATAACAATCCAATAATAATAATAATAATAATAATAATAATAATAATAATAATAATGATATCATCCTATTTTTCTCTAAATTGACTCAAAGCAGCATATATAGAAAAAAACAGTACAACACAGCTAAAACATTAAAATATAATTACATATTAATGCTATTAAAAATGAACAGTTTAAACCCTTAAGACTGATTAAAAACCTATTAAAGCAACGGCACCTTCTGGCTTGATCTTATACACAATAGTAGTCCCTAGCTTTAAGTCTGAACTAATCTCACAGAGGCCAAAACTCTCTTCTCAGTGTCTGTGTTTTCTCCCCACAGCTCCCTTGAGACAGAAGGTATTGAAGAAGCCCAAGGAAGAAGAGGTGGCCCCCACAATCCTGGAGACCTGGATTCCCGTGGAAGCCTCCCAGGAGACCCCCCTTCTGGTCAAAGGCTCCCTCTGCCCGGAAATGTGGCTGAGGTCTCCTCCTCCTCCGGGAGCGGAAGGCAGGGCGTTCATCCCCCTGGAAGCTGGCCTGGCCCAGTGGCCGAAGCAGGGGGAGGCCCGCCTCCACGACTGTCCTGACTGTGGGAAGAGCTTCAGCCTCCCACTTGGTCTGCAGGACCACCAGCGGAGCCACGCCGCCCTCCTGACCTCTGCGGGTAGCCGTTTGGCCTCTCCTGGAAACGAGGGGCTCCTGGTCCATGCTCTGGGCTGCCAGCCGGAGAGCGGGGTGGAGCGTCACTCGCCATCCTCGGCGGAGGAGCGGGACTGGTCCTGCCCGTGGTGCCAGCAACGCTTCCGCCTGCGGGTCAACCTCCTGATCCACGAGAGCAGCCACCTGGAGGCGGCCTCGGATCTGAGTGGCAAGGACCGCCTGGCCTGCCGCTTCTGCCCCCGGCGCTTCGGCCGCTCAGACCACCTGCTGCGCCACCAGATGAGCCACACGGGGGCCCGGCCCTACCAGTGCTCGGCCTGCGAGAAGAGCTTCACGGACAAGAGCAAGCTGACCAACCACTACCGCACCCACACGGGCGAGCGGCCCTTCCGCTGCTCGGCCTGCGGGAAGCGCTTCATCCGGCGGCACCACCTGGCCAAGCACCAGCGCACCCACACCCGCGAGCGGCCCCACCAGTGCCCCCTCTGCCTCAAGCGCTTCATGCAGAAGCACCACCTCCAGAAGCACGTCCGGACGCACACCGGCGAGAAGCCCTACAAGTGCAGCCACTGCCCTAAGGCCTTCTCCACCAAGCAGCGCCTCCTCCAGCATTGCTGTGCCTCCGGGGCGGCCATGACAGCGGCCACCCAAGGCCATGCCCTCTGACCTTTGCCCTCCCGTCCGCCTCATGGCCCTGTGCAGGTGGGCTGGCCTGCCATGGTGGTGGCCCCTTTGGTTGGAGACATTTTGCTGCAAAAAGTCACAACAAACGCTTGGGTGTGGTGTTGACTGTCAGAGAAATTCCAAATCCCCAAGCAATGGATTCCTTGGAGAACTTGCTGGAGAACCTCAACCAGGGTGGTGGCCCCCATTGGTTGGTGACATTTTGCTGCAAAAAGTCACAAGAAACGCTTGGGAGTGGTGTTGACTGTCAGAGAAATTCCAAATCCCCCAAGCAATTGATTCCTTGGAGAACTTGCTGGAGAACCTCAACCAGGGTGGTGGCCCCATCAGTTGGTGACATTTTGCTCCTAAAGGCTTGTGAAAAGTCACAACAAACAGTTGCGTGTGATGCTGGCCGCAAGAAAAAATCCATATTATATCACTATATTCAGCTAACCAAAAAGTGGCCAGAAATCCCAAGCAAGGGGTTCAGTCGAGAACTTGATGGAGTGCCTCAACTGAGTTGATAGTTGGGCATGTTTTGCTTGAAAAGGTTGCGAAGCTCAAACAGTTTGTTGAAATAATCCATATTGTCATGATACTATTGTCTTAAGCCAACCAAAAAGGGACACATTGGTGTTGCAAATCCCAAGAAATTGATTCCGTTGGGAACTTGATGGAGAACCTCAACCAAGGTGATGATCGCTTTGATCAAGGACCAATGAACGGTTGGGTATTACATTGACAATAAGGAAAACAAATCCATAATATGACACTATGGTATATTAAGCCAACTGGAAAGGAGCAGTGCTGTTGTTGGAAATCCCAAGTGATGGAATCAGTTGGCAACTTGGTGGAGAACCTCAACATTTCTGTAAATTCCAAGATGGTGGCTCTTGTACAGTGTCTTGGTTGCATTCTGATGGTCTGAAAAACAATCCCACTTGCGGTGGAAAAAGCAATATGGCCCCACAGCATGGATACATCATACATAGGACTTCCTGACACAAAGGACTACTAAACAGGCGAGGTATAAATTAACGGTGCTTCTTGGAGACCAAGACTGGTCGGTCCTTGGAGGGAAGACTGGTGAACGGACTCATCTTTCAACATGGCGGCAAAAAGGGTTCAGTGGTTCTCAACCTGGGGTCCCCAGATGTTTTTGGCCTTCAACTCCCAGAGATCCTAACAGCTGGTAAACTGGCTGGGATTTCAGGGAGTTGTAGGCCACAAAAACATCTGAGGACCTCAGATTGAGAACCAGTGGTCTTAATGGTGCTTTGTACTTGTGTTGAGAAATGTCTTGTGAAGGAATGTAAATATTATTAGAGCTGGAAAGTCGCTACCAGTGAAACCAACCATAAAGGACGTGACATTAGGACTCAACGGGGTGGTGGCATCTTGTGCCTAGTTTGGGGGTGCCTTCCCATTGGGACACAGTAGTCAATAGAGGTTGGGGTGGGACTTTAGGGGGAAGAGGTGGATATATAAGCCTTATTATTTTGGTTCTTGTTGACACACGTGGAATCCAATCATGTCCTCAGAAGATGGCTTAGTTGGAGAGGGATTCTGGAAGACGTCGTCCAGAAATGCCCAGCTCTGCTGATGTCCATGCTTAGGACCATAGCATGGGGGGATGTCCTGGGACAAAAACTGGAGCCCATCACAGCCTCGCTCCTCCGACTTCTACAATTTGTTGTTGTTGTTGTTGTGCATATTGGCTCAATCCACAGTACATTTATTTCCTCAAGGCGTTCGTTCCTCAAGATGGACCGAAACAACGTTTTGCAGGGCCGGGCCTCTCCTCGGGTGCCTCTTTACCCTTTTCGACTCCTATGATGTACCTTCTTGATTGAAGCAGTTTCGTGTAGATGTGCCTGGGCGCAAGTGCGGGAGGAGGAACAGACCTTTCCATTTGGGGTGTTGGGAGTGGAAACCAAACGTAGGAGGGAGGATGGGAAAGTGTATTGTCGAAGGCTTTGATGGCCTGAATCACTGGGTAGTTGTAGATTTTTTTCGGGCTATACAGCCATTGTCTAGAGGCATTCTCTCCTGACGTTTCACCTGCATCTATGGCAAGCATCCTCAGAGGTTGTGAGGTCTGTTGGAACTAAGAAAATGGGTTTATATATCTGTGGAATGACCAGGGTGGGACAAAAAACTCTTGTCTGCTGGAGCTAGGTGTGAATGTTTCAACTGACCACCGTGATTAGCATATAATGGCCTGACAGTGCCTGGAGCAAACTTTTGTTGAGAGGTGATTAGATGTCCTTGTTTGTTTCCTCTCTGTTGTTGTGCTGTTGTAATTTTAGAGTTTTTTAATACTGGTTGCCAGATTTTGTTCATTTTCATGGTTTCCTCCTTTCTGTTGAAATTGTCCACATGCTTGTGGATTTCAATGGCTTCTCTGTATAGTCTGACACGGTATTAAAAACTCTAAAATTACAACAGCACAACAACAGAGAAGAAACAAACAAGGACATCTAATCACCTCAACAAAAGATTGCTCCAGGCACTGCCAGGCCATCAAATGCTAATCAAGGTGGTCAGTTGAAACATTCACACCTAGCTCCAGCAGACAAGAGTCCTTTGTCCCACCCTGGTCATTCCACAGATATATAAACCCTTTTTTCCTAGTTCCAGCAGACCTCACTACCTCTGAGGATGCTTGCCATAGATGCAGGCGAAACATCAGGAGAGAATGCCTCTAGACCATAGCCATATAGCCCAAAAAAACCTACAACAACCCGATGGGTTTTGTATATTTTAGGTCCGGTAGGCTTTTCCTTCTCACTCTCCCCTATTTGTTTTCCTTTTTCCCCCCCCCCCTCCCCACTCCTTTTTGGCTGATGACCCCGTGAGAAAGGCGACTCTTCCCCATGTGCTGCTCCATTGTCTTGGCAGGATTGCGATGTGCCCTCAATTCTCGATAGAAGGCAGGCTATGGACTGAAATAAAACCCATTTGGCACAAGGGCTGCCTCCAGGTGTGTTGCTTGTTACCTGCAGTTTTCAGCCTGGCTTGCCCTTATCCGACCCCAGTTCTTTCGGTGTTTCTCAACCTTCCAAATGTCACGACCCCTTAATGCAGTTCCTCATGTTGTGGTGACCCCCAACCATAACATTCCACAGATATATAAACCTATTTTCCTAGTTTCCAACAGGCCTCACTACCTCTGAGGATGCTTGCCATAGATGCAGGCGAAACATCAGGAGAAAATGCCTCTAGAACAGTGTTTCTCAGCCCTCCTAATGCCACGACCCCTTAATACAGTTCCTCATGTTGTGGTGACCCCCAACCATAAAATTATTTTCATTGCTACTTCATAACTGTAATTTTGCTACTGTTATGAATCATCATGTAAATATCTGATATGCAGGATGTATTTTCCCACGATCAACAGAAAATACTGGAAGGGTTTGGTGGGCATTGACCTTGAGTTTGGGAGTTGTAGTTCAGCTACATCCAGAGAGCACTGTGGACTCAAACAATGATGGATCTGAACCAAACTTGGCACAAGAACTCAATATGCCCAAATGTGAACACTAGTGGAATTTGGGAGAAATAGACCTTGACATTTGGGAGTTGTAGTTGCTGGGATTTATAGTTCACCTACAATCAAAGAACAGTCTGTGTCCCACCAATGATAGAATTGGGCCAAACTTCCCACACAGAACCCCCATGACCAACAGACAATATTGTGTTTTCTGATAGTCTTTGGCGACCCCTCAGACACCCCCTCACGACCCCCCCAGGGGTCCCGACCCCCAGGTTGAGAAATGCTGCTCTAGAACATGGCCATATAGCCTGAAAAAACCCACAACAACCCAATTTACTTACTCCTTCACAACTGTAATTTTGCTCCTGTTATGAATCACAATGTAAACATCTGATATGCAGGATGTATTTTCATTCACTGGACCACATTTGGTACAAATACCCAGTATGCCTAAATTTGAATACTAATTGGGTTGGGAGGGGGGATTGATGCTGTCATTTGGGAGTTGTAGTTGCTGGGATTTATAGTTCACCTACAATCAAAGAGCATTCTGAACTCCACCAATGATGGGATTGAACCACACAGAACTCCCTTGACAGAAACAGAAAATACTGGAAGGGTCTAGTGGGCATTGACCTTGAGTTTGGAGTTGTAGTTCACCTACATCCAGAAAGCACTGTGGACTCAGTGATGGATCTGGACCAGACTTGGCACAAATACTTAATATGCTCGAATGGGAACTCTGGTGGAGTTTGGGGAAAATAGACCTTGACATTTGAGAATTGAACCAAACTGGGCACACAGAACTCCCATGTGCAACAGAAAATATTGGAAGCGTCTGGTGGGCATTGACCTTGAGTTTGGGAGTTGTAGTTCACCTACATCTAGAGAGCACTGTGGACTCAAAACAATGATGCATCTGGACCAAACTTGGCACAAATACTCAAAATGCCAAATGTGAATACTGGTAGAATTTGGGGAAAATAGACCTTGACATTTGGGAGTTGTAGTTGCAGGGATTTATAGTTCACCTACAATCAAAGAGCATTCTGCACTCCACCAATGATGGAATTGGACCAAACTTGGCACACAGAACTCCCTTGACAGAAAATACTGGAAGGGTTTGTTGGACATTGACCTTGAGTTTGGAGTTGTAGTTCACATCCAGAGAGCATTGTGGACTCAAACAATGATGCATCTGGAGCAAACTTGGCACAAATACTCAAAATACCAAGTGTGAATACTGGTGGAATTTGGGGAAAATAGACATTGACATTTGGGAGTTGTAGTTGCAGAGATTTATAGTTCACCTACAATCAAAGAGCATTCTGAACCCCCCCCCCCAAAAAAAAAAAAAAAAAACCTATAGAATTGGGCCAAACTTCCCACGCAGAACCCTGATGCTTTGAAGGGACTTGCTGGCGCGAGCCTCCCTCCAGGCTCATCTGCTCTCCCTCGCCTGCACATGTGCACCATGCTGCCATCCGCAAGCACACCTACTCTCCCCTCCTCAATTGGAGTCTCATAAACAGCCCTCCCCTTGGCTGAGAGGCCGGCCAATCACAGCAGAGGAGGGATTTTGGTGGGAGGATTTGTGGTCTGTTTCCAAAAATGAAGAGAAGGACAGGCGGAGAGATTTGCCTCCTACCTCCCAACCTCCCCCCTCCAAGAGGTCCCGACCCCCAGGTTGAGAAATGCTACACTAAATCCTAAAGATCTCATTTATTTTTGCACCATTCCAGACATATTTTGGGATTTTATGCTTAGCATTATTTTGTAGGTTGAGGATACCTTTCCTCGGACGCTTGGGGCCAGAAGCGTTTGGAATACTATAATATCCAAGTGTGTCTCTTCCTAAATATGCCTTTCTTGCTTCATGTGTTGTGTGTTGCACAGAGTATACTATTGCACAACCATGGGCCAACTTGCACCCTCCAGGTGTTTTGGACAATGCCTTTACAATAATATACAATGAGACAGACAAACACAAACAAAGGCAAAGGCTTCTCCATTTCCAAGCCAAGGAGCCTTCGTTGTCACCTCCTGGTTGTGTGGCCGGCGACTGCTTGGAGAGTCTCTTTGCCTTTTCCTGCCAAAGCAGTATCTATTTATCTACTCGTATTTGCATGTTTTCGAACTGCTAGGTTGGCCAGAGCTGTAGCTGACAGACAGGAGCTCACCCCGTGCCACAGATTTGAACTGCTAACCTTTAGGTCAGCAATTCAGCAGCACAAGGGTTTAACCCATTGCGCCACCATGACTCCAGGAATTGTGGAACCGAGCCTCAGCACGTGTCCAGAGCTGCTGCTGATATCGCCCAACCATTTCCAGAGTAGGGATTCAGAAAACATTATTGATACAGGCAGAAATTCAGTTAAAAGCTCTACAACGCTATTGTTAACAAGCTCTGGATGTCTTGTTATTGTTATTATTCGCAGCCACCTCTCTACAAAAGTCAACATTGACACTGAAATACAACATTGCCTGAGCTCCCAACCCTGCTATATGTCTGCGAAATGTGGACTGTCTACAGACGTCAACTTTTTAAACTGAAATACAACACTGCCTGAGCTCTGCGAGTGCAGCATTTCTCCGAATGAAGCAGAGAGTGTTTGAGGGCCGGGACATCCGTAGGGATACCAAGGTGCTTGTTTATAAAGCTATTGTCCTCCCAACCCTGCTATATGCCTGCGAAATGTGGACTGTCTACAGACGTCAACTTTTTAAACTGAAATACAACACTGCCTGAGCTCTGCGAGTGCAGCATTTCTCCGAATGAAGCAGAGAGTGTTTGAGGACCGGGACATCCGTAGGGATACCAAGGTGCTTGTTTATAAAGCTATTGTCCTCCCAACCCTGCTCTATGCCTGCGAAACGTGGACTGTCTACAGACGTCAACATAGAGACTGAAATACAACACCGCCTGAGAAATACAACACCACTTTTCCAAATGAAGCAGAGGTGTTTGAGGACCGGGACATCCGTAGGGATACCAAGGTGCTTGTTTATAAAGCTATTGTACTCCCAACCCTGCTATATGCCTGCGAAATGTGGACTGTCTACAGACGTCAACTTTTTAAACTGAAATACAACACTGCCTGAGCTCTGCGAGTGCAGCATTTCTCCGAATGAAGCAGAGAGTGTTTGAGGACCGGGACATCCGTAGGGATACCAAGGTGCTTGTTTATAAAGCTATTGTCCTCCCAACCCTGCTATATGCCTACGAAATGTGGACTGTCTACAGACGTCAACTTTTTAAACTGAAATACAACACTGCCTGAGCTCTGCGAGTGCAGCATTTCTCCGAATGAAGCAGAGAGTGTTTGAGGACCGGGACATCCGTAGGGATACCAAGGTGCTTGTTTATAAAGCTATTGTCCTCCCAACCCTGCTATATGCCTACGAAATGTGGACTGTCTACAGACGTCA